GTTTTGATTATAGTGATATGAGAGAAGCTGTTGGGAAGAAATTGTGTTGCCAGAGGTATAGGATGCCATCCCATTGGTTTTTGAAGAGCTAGTGAAATGAATAACTTCCCCTTCATAACTTTTAAAGTCTCACAGGCCTTTACTTTGGGTATTGGGCATAGTTAATTTATGTGAAATTGTGTTGTTCATAATGAATAAAAATAAACAATAGGGAATCAGTTGTGATGTAGTCAGAACAAAATTGGTAATGGAGACTTGGATTCAGAACCCAACTCAGCTATGAAATATCCTGGTTCACGTCAAGTCCGTTACTGCTTTTCAGACTGAACTTCCCACTCACTAGAAGGGTGGGATTTAAAAAAGCAACTGCCTTGTTCTGCCCTAATTATATCAGTATAGCAATACTGGGAAAGTAGGAAGCATTAATTTCTGTGACAAAAGCTGCATCTTGCTTCAAACCATAGAGATTTTTGGATGTTTTCAGTCTGCATATTGTCAGTTTATGTTGACACAATCCAGAATTTCAGTGATCAAAGTAAGTGCTGCTGAAGTGCTGAAACGTTTTCTTGGTACATTTTTAAAATCACCACCACCTACTCCATTTTATATTAACAATATAACTCAAAGTGTACTTTCAGATGTCCATCATGAAATTCATGGTTTTGTAACAAGTGGGATAGTTAGCGATAAATAGAAATGAAAGTAGAGGACAATGCATTGCTGAAGCAAGTGAAAAGAAGAAATAAAAGAGGCATTGTTTTTAATAGTTATACAGACAACATTTCAAAGGAAGCCAACATCAGCTAAACAGGAAAAAATATTGGTGTGGATTAGCATAATTGTGAGACTGTGGAGCTGTGGGCTCCTTTTTAAAGCAACAGCCAGGCTGCAGTCAAACACAATGGTTGAAAGCCTTCAACAGATTGTTTTAAGCTACATAACAGACTTATTAAAAGACCATGTTTTGGTAATGTATGTGGATTGGGAAAGTTTTCTGCCCGTTGGGTTTTCACTAGTTTAACATGTTAATGTGTGTGTTGTTGTTGTTTTAAGAGAGACCTAGCCAACTTCCTAATATAGTAAAAATGTCATCTCTTAATCAAAGGTGATTACAGTTTTCTTCTGGGTGTAAATTTGCTTGTTGTGTAATGGGAATGCATTAGTCTCAGCACAATGTAAGGAAATGAAAGGCCGCCAGCTCCATTCTTATCACTCCAGGCGTGTCTAATGAATCGTGTTTCAATGTTCTCTTGATCACGCTGCAGAGTGCCCTTACTCAGGGCTAAGTCTCCTGTAAAATGCTCTTTAAGATTATTGTTGCAAGCACAGAAATTCTGGATGAGTGTTTTGTTGGTAGGGGAAATGTTAATGAGGCAGCTGCATGTCAGCCAGTACAGCTGGTGGGATTTCTTGTCATGGCTCGGATGGTGGTAACAGACAACTGTTCTAGATTTGGCATCACCCCTTTTCTCAGTTGACAACTCTCTTTCTAACTGTACCATTTGTTGGAGGACACAAAGAAAATCCAGTGTTGGGCCAAGAAATGTCTGCCATTCAGACAATCAACAGCAAAGTACTCATATTTGGGTATGAACAAAAACGGAAAAAGATTTCTTTCTTCTCACTGACTGGGTTCGCAATATAAGCTATGCTAGTCTATAGGCTGGGGTTGGGATTAGGGTTAGTGTGTTGGCTGAACCCAGCCAGAGTGGTTACGAAACCACTTTGGCTTATTAGCCCTCATAGCTTATCATGCTGTTTAAACTCAGTCACTGACTGAAACTAAGAAATGGACAACACAGTGAGATCTTTTGCGAATTTGTAACTATAAAGTGATTTTGCATAAAAGGTCAAGCAAACAGTGCATCTGTTCAAATGATTATGAAGATTTAGCAAGTTTGTGACAGCCAAACTGCGGAGTGAACTGAATATTTGTACTCTGTAAATATCTTTTTCACATTTAGTGCTATGGTCTTTCACACAAAATGTGCCCAACAGGGTGCCCATCAGAGGAAAGGAAACATAAAATTCCATATGTGAAGTAACAAGTGTGCAAATACATACAGTGAAAAGATTGCACAGAAACACAGGGAAATAGCTTGCAAAAATGTGTGCAAAAATGTGCACAAAATGTGGGCATTGGAGATGTGCACATGGACATGAAAATGAATTCTCATACTTATCTTTAAAAAATCATACATTGATGTGGTATCAGGAAGAGCCGAATGCAGCATAGGAGAAAAGAGAAGCCGAAGAAAACCAAATTGGCAGATTCGCCCATTTCTAGTGTTGACCCGTTATGGAAATTGCCTTTCCAGAGTTCGGAAAGGCAAGGGAAAACCCATTTCCTTAGAATTATAAGCAGTTCAAGGAGCAGGAAGGAGTGTTGCATGTAAGATATCCACCTCTAAGTACTTGAAACAGGTTTTACATGGTATCAATGGCATAGTAAAAGTGATGGATCAATACTATTGCACTTAAGCTTTTTATGGCTATTTCAGAATCAGTATATGCACTGTACTACTTTGCTGTAAGTCAAATCCTAGGGCAATTGATACGTCTGCATTTATTACTAAATGGCCAAATTCGATCAAAGTAAAATATAAGCTTTAATACAAGTCTGTGGTAATTGAATGTTTGATATATATTTAATGCAGATATTTACCAATCAATTGGGTTTTTAAATGGTTTTTTTTTTTTAAACATGGAAGAAAAGACATCCTAGGAAAAAAGCCTATAGCTCTGCTCACAACGTAACCTCTTCAGTAATTGTTGACTTCCCCGTTTCGTGTACTTTGCCTTGGTGTAGGAGCCTGTCGGCACAGCAGAATAAAAATTGATTTTCAGCCACTGTTAATGGATAAACAGCTAGTTGCGTCCCGTAACAGCTAGTTGCGTCTGTTGAGGATGTGCAGCGCCTGGTCACGTCCAGTCACAACAGTAACTTTACAGTGTAATACTTTTTCACTAGTTCCCGTAGCGTTGGACACATTGTTCTGTAGCTTCCATAATCCCTGACCGTTGGCCATGCTGGCTGGGCCTTGGAACAGGAGTTGCATCTGAAGCACGTGGATGGACGTGGCTGCTTACTCCTGTCGTAGTGGAATTACTCAGAACAGATCAGGTGCAGTGTGTGCGTGCGTCTGCACACCAGTCGAATTATTACATTGCGTACGTATCATATGTTGTTCGCTCGTATGTGTTGTATTTCTGTCCCAAGGCAGCTTATGTAGTCCTCTTCCTCTACTTTTTTCTTCTTCACAACAACCTTGTGAGGTGGGTTAGGCCAAGAATCCGAGACTGGCTTAAAGTCACCCAGGGAACTTCATGGCCAAGAGAGACTTACACTCAGATCTCCTGAGTCCAGTTCCAGCTTTTATGCCAAGCTGGCTCTCAGTGCACCTGCCTGCTTAACTATAAAACACAACATATGTAAATTGTTATGGCATTTCCTCTGTTAGGAATTGCATCTTCATTCCCACATACAGTGCACTTATAATTTATTATATATGAGCTGCCTATAATATAATTATACATTTTATTTCACTATTAACATATATGTTGTTTTTATTTTCCCTTTTTCCCATCATTGGCAGGCAGGGAGGAAAGTATGTGTACAGAAATGTTTAGCAGCTTCAAAGGAGGAAACTACAAAAAATATGTTTAGGCTTTTCGTTGTTGTTCTTGGCTGCATGTGATTCCGATTGGTTACAGTGTTGAAGCTGTACTTATGGTCTTTTTTAAGCTGTTGGTTTTTTTTATCAATTTATCTCAGCCCTCCATGCAGAAAACGATTTGCAGGCATTGGCAGCTTGGCAAGGTATGAAACTGGACCAGGAAAAGGAGCAGAAGTTGAGTGTGGAGTGCCATTTCTGATTAATGCTTTCCTATAACATGAAATGAACAATCTAGCAAAACACACTTGCGTTGCTTCGGAGTTGTTTAATTTTCAGCTCTCACCAAACGTTTAGCTGGCTCCTGCAAAGAAATACTCTCCAGTTTTCCTTTTTTTCTTTCTTTTCTTTCTATCTCCAGAGATAGGAATGTTTTCCACAGCACAATTATACATGAGGAATTCAATACTGGTTCCCAAAATGTTGAACCGGCTTGTGTTTGGATTCCCCCCCACACCCCCCCCACCTGCTGAAGACATATGAACATGCGCACTGTGTTTTGTGTATGACATTGTGGGTCTAAGACCCAGTCCATGACATCCACTGCATTCATAACAGAGGTAGAACTTTTGCTTTTCCAGATGGAAAAAACCTGGCTCCATAGCTGTACTCTCTGGCCTGTGTTGGTTTTTGTTATCATCAGTAGCTGTTTGTACAACTGGCAGCCTTGTCTTTCGCCGAAGCCCATCTTAGTGAAGGCTGCAACATTTGGACAACTTGGATGAAATGTCTAAATACAGAATGAGCAGCTAAGCACTTCAGTCTCTGATTTTAACATTTGAATAATCTGAATGACAGTCCTCTTGGTTTACTTGCTGTCTCTGAATACTTTGCACAATTAAACCTGGAAAAACCCTCCCATCATGAGACAAAATTTGAAAAGAGAAAGGAAGAATATGTCTTATGTGTCTGGCAATTCCTATTGCTGGTTGATTTGACCAGACGGAAAATGCTGTAATTGAGTGTGTAAGTTATTGGATGGCCACACAATGAGAAGGAAGGACTCACTGGACAAGTCCCTGATGCTGGGAATGATTGACGGCAAAAGGAGAAGGGGACGGCAGAGGCTGAGGTGGCTGGATGGAGTCACTGGGGCAGTGGGTGTGAGCTTGGGTGGACTCTGAGGGAAGGTGGAGGACAGGAGAGCCTGGAGGAATGTTGTCCATGAGGTCATGATGGGTTGGGCACGACTTTGCAACTAAACCACAACAAAGTCATTTGAAGAAACCAGTTGCTGTTTTAAAGACATGCTTCCGTTGTCTTGAATCGCTCTACCCCCACATTCTGTTCCCAGATAATATAATCACATTTTGTCTGTATTTACAGTGGTGGAAGAAGGACTTTGGGAGAACGGGCTTTCCTATGAATGCAGGACGCTGCTTTTCAAGGCGATACACAACCTGCTGGAAAGGTAGGGGAGCGACTTCTGTGCCGACGTCATTGTTATGTGTTAGGCGCAGGGGGTCCATTGCTCAGGTCTGGCCTGCCACCAAGCCCTTCCTCTCAGTCCCCTTTGCAGAGGGGGAAGCATGAAATCTCTCATTTGCTCTGGCATATTTAAAGGGAGAGCCAGTGTGGTGTTGTGGTTAAGAGCATGGGACTGGGACTCAGAGGATCTGGGTTCAAGTCCCCGCTCAGCCATGGAGCCAACTGGGTGACTTGGGGCCAGTCACAGGCTCTCAGCCCAACCTACCTCACAGGGGTGTTGTGGGGATAAGATGAAGGAGGAGAATGATGTAAACTGCCTTGAGCCCTTTGTAGGAAAAAGGCAGGATATAAATCTAAAAATAAATAAATATAAATAAATAAATATGAGACAAGGTGTCTGCCTCTCTCTGGAGCCCTTTTTAGTTTACTGGTCAGAAGGGCAGTTGCCATGGGAGACCTGAAATTAGGGATTATGGAGCCATGAATAGGACAACTCATTAGAGCCCTTATTGCTTAACACAACAGAACCCTTTCTCCATTTGGAGCTTAAACGTAAAAACTGGAGAGCGTTGGAGAAGTCAGTGCAAGCAGACACCAGTGCTTTTTTTATTTATATTAAAATATTTCTGTATATATTCTCGTATAAAACATGCCCAGGCAGTGCACAGCCGTCAAATCATAATGTAAGTGTATATATGCAATATAACAGCAACATACTAAAACATAACCGATCACATCAAGGAAACAAAGGCAAAGTGGCAGGCGTCGCGAATGAACCAACACCCAGGTGGATTCAAATGTTTACACGTGCCTGAAGTGAATCAGAATTGGGACTGTTTTGTATGGGTGCCACCAGAGGAAAAATCCTCTTCTGGGTGGTCACCAGATGGACACCTGTAGGACATGACACAACTAGGGAATCTCAGAGAATGATTGAACAACTAGGCTGAAGTTAAACGTCATTTTAATTATAAATAAGTAAGTAAATAAATAAGTATATGAGGATAAAGGTATTCCAATCTCATTGCTGAATGCAGATCGTAGTCCCCCGGTGCAGAGCTGATGCATTATTGTAGTCCAAAGAGGTACCATGCCTAGTATGCTTGACATTAAAGCTCATTAAGCTGCTTGCAAACATCTGGGGCATTTTCGGATAAAGCATTGCTTTTTTTTAAGGGCTACTCCCATCGCATTAGGAGCTTAGAAATCAAATTTTATTGCTACATATCACATAGGGAGCAGAATAGCATACCTATTCACAATAGAGTTCTTAAATTATCAAGTCAGGTAAAAATTGTAACAACCTGAGACGACCTTGTGGCTTTCGTGTTGATCTTTGATAATTTGGTCTGTGAATTCACGCATGTCCTGCTGTTTTGCAAACAGCCCATTTATATTTCAACTTTAACCATCCTGTTCTTACTGTATTTTCTTCATTGGCAGTAATTTTAGGCCAAAGAAGGGAGTAGTTCTTCTCTCCTTGTATTAAACATGTGTGATTTAAAAATGTGCAGAATTCTCTGTCTGTTCACTTAAATACACTTGTTACTTATAAACTACTGTAACCCACTGTTTTTAGACCCAATGGAAGAGCAGACCATGCATTTATTTGCAATATCTCTATACTGCTACATGTTTAAAAATCACTAAGTAATGTGCTCATAAATATTAAAATCACATTTGAAATATTAATCTTAAAACCAATCTTAAACAATTAAAAAAGCCATTCTGGTTATAGAAATAATATAGAGCAGTACAGCGGTGTGCCATGGTTAATTTAATTACAAGCCAGAGACAGCCTAGGCGAGCAAGTGCATTTTAAAGAGGCCTTTGAAAGATGCTACTTTGGTTCCACCCAAACAGAATGCACAGGCTTTTCTGTAGGATCGGTGCCAGTACCAAGGAGGCCTGCCCTTGAGGCATTGCACGGTTACCTTCTAGTATTTTGGAATGAGTAACAAGAACCTTCCTGGTGATCATAACTCCCCTGGTGAGAGCCAGTGTGGCGTAGTGGTTAAGAGCATGGGACTGGGACTCAGAGGATCTGGGTTCAAGTCCCCACTCAGCCATGGAGCCAACTGGGTGACTTTGGGCCAGCCACAGACTCTCAGCCCAACCTACCTCACAGGGTTGTTGTTGTGGGGATAAGATGGAGGAGGAGAATGATGTAAGCTGCCTTGAGCCCTTTGTAGGAAAAAGGCAGGATATAAATTGGAAAATAAATAAATAAATAAATAAATAAGAGCTAGTTGGGTATCTATAAGGGAAAGCAGATCTTTAAGGCTTTGTATGTTAAATTCCAACCTTAAATATGGTGCAACAGGCAGGCGGTGCAGTTCTTTTAAGCCATGTATTGTGTGAGCGTAGCTTGCTGGCCCGGTGGGCATCCTGCTTGCGGCTGCCTCCTCTTGCTGCAGCTTCTGGACCAAGCCCACGGGCAGCCTCACACCGAGCGTGTTGCAGCATGAGGTTGCAGTGCATGGATTACCATGGCTGGGTTATCTCTGTCCACGGCTGGTCCCTGTGGTGTACCAGCCAAAGTTGGTTGTTGTGTCCTGGGCCACTAAGGTCACCTGGGCTCCAGGGACTGAGATGATGCAGGAGCACCCCTAAAAGATGCAGGGGGAATTCGTCCGGATCAGACAGAGGCATCAAGCTGAATTCCGGGGCCTGGGAACTGCCAGCCTAGAGGACCTCTAACTTAACAGCTTTAATTTCTTAGTCCAGACACCAGTGGAAAACACGCACAGTGTCTCTTGGTTCAGAACTCACAGCGAAATAGAGCTGGCGTGTCCTGCGGACCCCTCTCTCCAAATCTCCTGGTGACTGTTTTCATCAGGAGCATAATATAATAATTTAGCATATATATTGGTGTATAAGATGACTCTTGAATCCAGAAATAGCAAAGCAAAAATTCTGGGGGCTCATATGCTTGACCAGAGAAACAGCCCAAAATATTGACCTCATCTTCTACGCAAATTGCCTTGTATGCAGATGTAGATGGTGTATTATTCCTGGAAGGTTTAGTTGTCCTTCAAATCCTGGGGAAACTGATCCTAAAGGATCAGGGTGAGTCACTGAGGGCTATGGCTTCTGTCATCTCATCAGGAAAGCCATCTATCGTTCTCTTTCGCACGTACCTTTCACTGCCTTGCTACTTGCAAAAGCAGCATGGGATAGGTGCCAAAAGACACGAACAAACAGTCCTACTTTAATTAGGCTGCTCCTGTTTAAAATATCTCTACAGGCCTTAGCATGTAACAACTTTCTGATAAAGTTCCACTATCCAAGCAAATACTTTCAGGAGTGTGGATAGCTGAATCTCGAAGCTCTTGATTCTTCACGCCATCCTGCTCAAATTGGCTGTTCTATTTGAGATTTCTGATTCATTTTCAGAAGGTATCACTAATGAACCCATGTTAATCCTTCCTCCCTTGGATTCTTGACTCTCAAATTGATAACATTTCTGCATGGTTAGTTTTCCTACACAGGTTGCAAGATTCACAAGGAATGAATGGATAAAATGGAGTCCATATTATTAATACAAAGGATATGTACCCTTGTGTTGCCCAACTGATCCAAATGGTTGGAGGATTAGGAGTGCCTCGACGAGGATTAGACTGTTGCCTTAGTGATTCAAGATTTTTCAGTGCTGGAGTTGTCTAGTGCATGAGAATCCTGATTGGAGAGTGAGGGATGCTCTTGGTTGTGAGAAGTCACTCTGTGGCCTTTTTTTTTTTTTTTTGCAAAGGCATACAGCAAATTACTATAATTTAATGGGTAGTTTCATTTTATGCCCATGGTTTGATATTTTCACTGGATTCTGGCATATGGTCTAGAGATTGGTGAGGTGGGGGTAATTTAATGGAATATTCATTTTGAGTGGCATCAAAATTTGAAACATCATTTATTTGTTAATTAAATTTGTATAAAAACTGCCCATTACCATTATGCTACAAACACAGTTATATATATTATATATGCATCCATTTGTATTTTTATTAAAATACATTTACCGTATTGGTAAGAACACATGTTTACGATAGCAGTTACAGTCCTATTTTAGATAATAAATTAACTTGCCGGATATATTTATTATCTTCTTCAGGATTGCATTGCAGATAAAATAGTAGCTGGTTATTATATTGATAGAATGAAATAGATTGAAATTAATTGTTTTTCTCTATGGAAGGCGGGAGAATAATTTAGGAATGTTTTCTGTGCTTACACTGGCAGAATTTTGCTGTTTCCATCTCAGTGTTGCCTTCTTAATCAAGGAACAACTTTCACAAGCTGTATTCTTCTGCATATGAGAGATGCGGAGTCCTTTCCTGAAATTCAGTTAGATGCATTGAAAGGAAAAATGTCCAAATTAGTATTTACTACTGTTTCTCAGACTTTTATGTATAGGATGGGGTATAAAAGTTTTAAACAAACAAAATGAACGAACAGTGAAGAGATAGAACAAAGGGGGTGAAAGTGAATTGGATGAGATCAGGAAGCATTTCTTTCATTTCTTCCTGCCTGCCAGACAACTGATCAGTGGAAGATTCTGGCCCAGGTTCTTTTGTGAAAATGCATTTTGAAGGGGGGGGGCAGGTGGTGGAGAGCTTTGCTGGTGTTGTTGGGGGTCCCTCTGTGCTCCTCATTGCATTGCATTGGAAATCCCTGGCTTAGGATATCTTGAAGGTGTTCCAAATCAAGAAGATAGTATTAACTTGTTTTAAAAATGTTTGACTAACTCTTACCAATAACTGACCAGCTGACCAAATTGGTTCTGGACTGGTCATATATTTAAGCCCTTAATCCAATATCAAGCTGGTAGGAAGAGTATTGATTCTTATACTATTTTCAGAGCTTTTCTGGAATAGTTTTTATTTCCATCCCTCCTTTTCCTGCAAGGAGCCCAAGGCAGTTCACATACTCGTAATCTTCTTCTCCATTTTATTCATTTAATTGTTTCTCTCTCTCTCTCTCTCTCTCTCTCTCTCTCTCTCTCTCTCTCTCTCTCTCTCTCTCTCTCTCTCTCTCTCTTAGATGCCTAATGGATAAGAATTTTGTAAGGATTGGGAAATGGTTCATTCGGCCGTATGAGAAAGATGAAAAGCCCATTAACAAAAGGTAAGGACCCTAAATATTTTGAAGTCAGCAGCTAGTATTCTCAGCACTGTTTCGATGCTTAAATTATGGGAATTTTATATGGTCATGTGTCTCCTTTCCAGCCTATTTTACACTTATCCCAGTTTTATATGTGCAGCTTATGGCACTCATTAACCAGTCTTTTGAGTTCCTGTTAGAGGGGTGAAGATTACCTTGTTAATCTCTTGTCTTTCCAAACAGACTTGAAACATTAGAACTTTGTCCTATACAGCAAAGCAAATAGCTGGACATGGTTGCAAACTAAGTTTACCAACACTCCTTGTTTGACAGTTGGATATTTTCAGAAGCTTAGAACCAGGTGATTTAAGGACCAGCGGCGATGGAGTTTCCTTTCTTTTTCCAAATTTATGGTACTTGTGACCCCGAAAGTGGTATTTTTGAGTGTCTGTGTGGTCCAGGTACAATAGCTGAGTCTAGGATTTCAACTGCATTAACTCTTGTTAGCTCTTCTGTGTTCAGGCTCATTGCTCTTCGTGGACGGTTCACCATTGAGTGAGGGTCAGTTTGTGTTCCTGCTGAGTTTTTGGGCAAGAGGTTTGATCTTTACCTTTCTCAGGAGGGCTTGCCTCAGACTGCTACCTTGATTCGCCAGTTAAAATGACCTGCTGCGTGGGCATCTTTGGCTCAGTTAGCAGAACCTGTCTCCGTGAAAAGTGCTCTGTTTATATTCACAGGCAACCAATTCCTTTCTTTCTGCTGCAGGTCTGGGTTCCCCAAAATAGCTTTGGAAAAGCTGTTTTTACCTGAGATATTTCAGCCTCCAGAATTCAGTGTGCCCTACTTAAGACTCCACCATATGTCAGTCTATTATATCTTCGGTATGCAAGCAAAAACTATTAACTGTCCCAAAATAAACGCAACTTATCTTTTAAGTTGCGGCTTCCTCTTTTGACTTAGAGCTGGATAAATTGAAGTGTGTGTGTGAGAGAGAGGGAGGGAGGGAGGGAAGGAGAGAGGGAAGGAGGGAGTGCTATTGAGTGTTTGTGTGTGTGTGTGTGTAGCTAAACAAACCACAAACATTCCCATGGTTTAACATGTCATGCAAAGTAGAGATCTTGACATCTCTCTGTCCAGTGACAAGCTGTGGCTTATGGGTCTGGCAACTCTGGGAGCAACAAGCCAGTATTGATGGTTTGAGTGCCATGATAAACAAGCTCGGGCACAAAATTTGCTTACCTGCCCCCCTTGCTCCCACCCACATTCAAACACATACAATGTATGACTTAGTTCAGTCTTAACCATTTCTTTAATAAATAGTTTGCTCAAACAACATCTCTGTAATGTGCTTTGTATGGTCAGATTTGAATGAATTCTATGATATGAATGCTAATCTTTGCTTTGATGTGTTAATGGAAAATAGTTTTTGGGTTTAGTCTTGTGCTTTCAAGTCACCAAAAACCTCCTGAAACATATCAAACTTCAGTTAACCATCAGTGTCAAACACAATCAATTGCTTAGATACAGGATATATTTGGCTTTCTAAAGCCTTTCTTGTAAATTTTTTGCTTTTGTTCCTGCTGGTTCTTTTTGATGTCTGGAAAGTTTGCTCTGATTCAGAGCTGGGTCTGGAAGGTGGCAAGCGTGGCATTGGCCCCAGGACCAGCAGAGGGCTACTGTCCCAACTTTTCTGCTTCACATAGAGATACAGCCAGTGAGAATTCTTTATCTATAGATCCTGCCTTTCCCAAGTTATCATTTATTTAATTTAAAACTTCTATACTGTCCCATTACAGAGGTCTTGGGACAGTTTACAACAATTATGATGGTGCCAGTAGGGGATATGGGTGTTAATTTGTTAAAGCAGAAGAAAATGGACACCCCCCATGTCTTCTTTCTTTTGTATGTTTTATAGCTTATGAGAAACTCATGAAGTTTTTGGAAAATAAATGGAAAATGCAATATCATTGATATGACCGCCATTGATTAGATATATGAAAATTGTTCTGCAAGAAACTTTTGTTTAAAATTATACCCACCCAAGGTCTTTTTCAGTCCTTGAAATAAATGTAACTATAGGAAGCGATTCCTGTGTATAGCTTTTCTACTGATCTCATGTGTTACTCTTCTTAACATTCCTATCATAGCAGTGCAGAAATGGACTAATCTTGGCTAGACAGTATAAATGCAGTTGCTTCAAAAAATTGTGTTTGAAGACATTAATCAGCTATTTCAGAGGGAACTATGAAAGATGTAGCTTTATTTTTAGAAGGGGTAAAGGAGACCGTGCTTGTATTCCAAAGTGTGCTTGCTTAGCAACCAAGATTCAGACCGAAAGAGCAAAACTCCAATTTTCGGGCAGTCTGTTGTGCTGTTCTTTGTGTCCCCAGCTGTGAAGAGAGGCTGCAGTGTGTTCTGGTTTCACTGATTCTGCCAGTCCAATGTTTATTGTGCACACAGCTGGTTCAGTTTAAAAGCCTGGCTTTGCCCCTGAGACCATCTTTCCTTCATTGCACTTTTGACTCCAGCTTTGCATCCTTGGTAGTAAAAGCTGCAGCAACACGCTTTATGATTTTAATGTGCTTTATTGAAAGAGGGAAGACTTCCCCGTTGGTCTAGTGATGGTCAGGGAAGGCCTGCGGAGGCAATGGAAGTATGCCGAGCAGATGCCCACTTTTAGAATAAGGAAATTTGCTGGCTAATGGATTGCAGCCTGCATCCGTACTTGTTCCGTTCCTTACCTAACATGGCATTCCCCAAAGCAAGAGTATTATTAGTTTTTGCTGTTAGCAGAATATCTGCCATTTCTCTTTAATTTAAGACCTCCTTTGACCCTTTAGACCAAATACAGCCCTCCAAAGTTTTTATTTGTTTATTTCACTGTGTTGCCACCCGGAGTGATCGTGAAGGGCGGGATACTTTAAACACATTAATTAGTTCTCAACATCCACATGTTTATTAATTATGTGACATGCGCGGGGGGGGTGTGTTGGTTTCGTGGCCTCACCTTGCTGTCTTTTCAGTGCATGGGGCATCCGTTGCATGTGTGACATGTGGAATGTGCTAATGTTCATTCTTGAAATTGTAAGGCCTGGTCTCAGCCTGGATCCACAGCATGTGGGTGGTGGCTGGGCTTTATCGAACGGACTAAATACGCTGAAATATGGTGGGTGGCTGTAAACGTTACCAGAGAGTGAGTATTATGTTCACAAATGGTGACCTGGATGCACTACTGTAATTATAATAGTATACGCTGAGTTCAGGAACTGGACTGCTGGTGTCTGTAGGAATAATAGGGAAGATACTTGCATTGAATCAAGCCAGCTGTTCAGAGAGCATCCGGTCCTTGTACCCACTCGGTATATAAGGCCTCTTTGTCTGCATGGACTTCAGCAAGGGTAAAGCAAGGAACACAGGCTGAAGACAAACGCTTTTAATGTTTTGAATCCAATTATGGCATTAACTCAAACCAATCTTGATTTACCAATGGCAACTGACTATAATGTTTGTATACTTTCTGGCAGTTCTCTCTGTCAATATTACAGAGGGCTGGTTGAGTTGTCTTGATGGGAATGTCTTTGTTTACCCAGACATGTGAAGCCTCTATGCAGCCGTGCTTGCGAAGGGAGGCTTGGTTGCAGGCTGTTCTGTCCAACTAGCAAAGTTCTAGGAATGTTTAAGCTGCTTCCCTCATTAGGCACTCAAAGCTGGCAGAGTATGTAAAGGATAGGCAAAATACCCCCGATGTGCCGTTAATTAGATTTGTCAGGAGTCCCAGTTGTGCTGCCTGCCACGCAATGTTGTCACTTACTATATCCATAATGAATTGTCTTAAGGGCATCCGTAAATATCGAGAAGCTCCTTTTTCACTTTCTGAATGGCCATTATAATATGGTTGCCCCTGCATGACAACTTGAATTGTACATCAGGGAGAAACTTGGATTTCAGAATAAGCTCTGCTCTTAAAAATAAACAGTTTGATTGCTAAAACTCCCTGCCAGAACAACTTCCAAAAAAGATGTTAACCCCTTTGCTTGCTTTGCAATAGCCGAAATGGAGTGGGAAGGCAGCTGGCCAATTTTTAATACATGGTTGGTAGAATTTAGCCTTTACGTTTGGTAGGTGTCTGCTGGGGTCTCTCCCCCCCCCCCCCCATTATCCCATGCTGTGCATTTGGGTTAGATGCATCTTGATTTGCTTTTATTCCAGGTGAATTTTGCAGAACATTTTGTGTCTTCGGTTATACAAGGTCTGTGTAAATTAACAGTTTGCTTTCTCTCTTTGCACTTAATTCATTGCATCTGAATGTATTAAGTACTGAGCAAAAGTGAGGCAGTGTGAAGTGTGTATAGCTGGTTGCTGCTTAATAGATTGTACCACCCTTCTAAACATGCTTGAGCAGCTCTGTTTTGCTTTTCTGCTCTCTTGGTGCAGCTTCATAAACATGTGCAGTCACTCCATGATGCAGCAGCCTTCAGGGAATGAGAGATAGCTGTAATGACGGTTTGTCAGTTCAGAAGGCACTCTAGACCTCAGCAACACCCACAGCTCTTCATTCCCCTGTAGACCCAGGTCTCTAAAATCCTTGCTTCTTCAGATGACTAGCAATCCCGGCTTCTCATGCTGAGTTCACACCAAATCGCCCATGTTCATTTGACCACGGTTTGGCATGATACCCGACCGGGCCCACGCATGGGGATGAGTGTAATGGAGAAGGGGTTTTGAAGCATGAGAGTGGCACTCGGCCACCCATGTGCCTGCTGCCAGAGCTGCACTGCTGCTCTTTTCCTCTGTAGTGTTACAGCACCTGCCATGTGAGGAAGCGTCAGAGCTGTGTAGAAGACCCCGGGTTCAGTTCCTGGCAACTCCAGGTGAGCTGGTGCCACTCCCTGCAGAAATGGGTTAGCGGTTCCGTCTTTGCATCGTGCAGCTTCTCCACTGGATGCCTGAGCTGGGGCTGCTGATTTTCCAGGTGCTGCCGAAGGGAGGAGTCTAAGCATGGCCCATCACTGGTACACGAAGAC